CGGGTTGGACAAGCTTGATTAAGAATGAAGTCAACTGCAAGTATGAAAGGATACCTGGGCCGGGCGCCATGGCTCACGTCTGTAATTCCAGCACTTTGGGAGGCTGAGGCAGGTGGAGCACCTGAGGTCAAGAGTTCAAGACCAACCTGGCCAACATGGTGAAACCCTGTCTCTACTAAAAATACAAAAGTTAGCTGGGTGTGGTGGCGCATGCCTGTAATCCCAGTCACTCAGGAGACTGAAGAACCAGAATCGCTTGAACCTGGGAGCTGAAGATTGCAGTGAGCCGAGAGCACGCCACTGCACTCCAGCCTGGATGACAGAGCGAGACACTGTCTCAAATACTTACATACATACATACATACTTGAAGTGGCTGAAACAATAAAGATATTTATTATCTCATATAACAAGTCACCAAGTCATTAACAAAAATATCACCAAGGTTTGTTTTCTGTTTTAACTTTTCTGGTAAGCCATCACTTCGTGCCAGCTTTGTGTCCTTAAGCCTTGTGACCTCAGCTCTACAGCCTGAGCTGAAGAAGATGAGGGTCCTGGTGCTCAATTTCTTTCCCCTTTTTAAATAAGGGTACAAGCCCCTTCCCAGAATCCTCCCAGCAGACAGCAGACGTCTGCTGAGACCTCCAGGGCCAGAATTGGTCACCAGCCCTCCTCTTACCCAGCGGTGACCAGGGGAATTGGGATGTTTCTTCATGGCTTAAACCTGTCACAGTTAAGCCCTGAGGCCGAGGGAGGGAATCAAAACAAAGTAAGTCAGCAAGGAGGGGGAGCGGCTGCCATTTTACTTGGCAGGAACCCTTCGCTGACCATAAGGAGCCGGGGCCCAGAGAGGTTAAGTCGCTTGTCCACAGCTACAGGTGACTTTGCACCAGGACCAGGGTGCAACCACAGCCCCAGAGCTCAGTAAGCTCTCCCCACCTCACCATATGGCTTCCCCACAACAGCAGACTCCAAGCCCAAGCTCCTGAAGGGCAGGAGCCCCATCCCAGGACCCTCTAAGCTTGACAGAGCCCTAATGTGGACAAAGTCAGCCAGGAGAGAGCCCCTTGTGCCCAAATGCGCCTCACCCGCCTCCGGGCCCACGGCTGAGGGAGCCAAAGCGCTTTCCGTCCCTGGTAAAGGCCTGGCAGGGGGTCAGCAGGAACCCAGAGCCTGACAAACAGCATCTCTGCAGCCACCTGGACCCTGGCCAAGCTGCCTCATTCCCCAGGCCTGACCTCATGTTTCTGAAGAACCTCAGGAGCCTGAGGTCTGTGTGCTGCCTCACAGGGTTCAGTTCTGCTGCCAGCAAAGGAAATGGCCGGGCTGGGGGCCATGCGGGGAGGTGGAAGCACAGAACCCACCGCCCTGCCCTGCCCTGCCAGAGCCCTCGGCAAATACCAGGCAGGCCCCAAAAGAAACCAAATAGCACCCTCTAACTTCTGAGGTGTGGCCCACGCCCACCTGCCTTCCCGCCTCTGCCGGATACCTGAAGGTATACCTTGAAGAAACTTTCACAGACTGGCTGTTTGTGTCTGTTTCATTTCAGACTCCTGCAAAGTGAGCAAAAAGCAGTCAAGACTTCATCAGAGGCGCTAAGAACATCTCTGGAATCAGTCCCAGCACCTCAAAGAGCTGGAGAGCTCACAGCCAGGCTGAGGCCTGTTGCTGGGTGACAAAAGTCGGTGTTTATTTAACCCAGAGCTGGGCCGGGTGCCCACACTGGCCTTTCTATGGTCACTGACAGCAAAGGCTCCCAGAGTACCAAGGCCCAGCGTGTGCTCCAGGACAAAAGCCTTCACACACTTGACCTCCACTTCCTGACTTCCCTTCTGGGTCAAATATCTGCTTACCTCGTATGGCAGTCAAGGGGAGCAGCCTGGGGAAACAGCACGTGGCAGACCCCAAGCCACGTTCAATCTTCCACTTCCTCCTGGGGCATCTCTGTCTCATCTCCACTTCCCACACACCCAGGCTGCAGGTCCCAGCTAAGGTGTTTGCTCCTATTCATATTCCCTTAAAAGCTTTCATTCTCCCCATACAACCACAAGGGCTGAAAACCACGTGGAGAGGGAAGAAGCTCTCTGCTTCTGTGCCATCATCTCTGTGGCCTGACCAAGAGGAGTCAGACATAGCAGCTGGCAGTTTAAAACTTTCCCTACCGAAGTTATTCTCAGAACTGTGGCTCCCAGTCTTCAGAGCTTGAAAAGTCTGCATACCTTGAAAGTATGCAGGCTGGAGGGCTGTGTGAACCCAGTGGAATTTTCCATTCATAGAATAATAATCTTCATATCACTCTGAGGGCTGGCGTTCTCATGGTAAGGGCTCGGAGTTCAGGGTCAGTAAACCTACCAGGCTTCTGCAGGAGCCCTGCGGCACGGAGGCTCTTTTATTTATTTTTGGTGGAGAGGGGGAGGAAATAAAGGAATGATTTTCTACCTTGCATGCCAACACAAACTTGGAAAAGGAGCTGGGTTGGCAAGTGCTGAATATTGCTGCCTGGTTTCATGACTTACATCAACCATTAGGGACTAAGAGGAAGAGGCTGAAACGTGGCTCTTTAACCCCTAACCCAGAGAGGCGGCCAAAACAGGCCTCACTTCACTGCTTTGAGTCCTTTCCCACACCTGCCAGCCAGAGCCCTGGATTGCTCTTTGAGGGCAAGGCCACGTCGCCCCACCTCACTTCACTTCTTTCCGGCTTCCCCTGTGTTCTGCCTTAGAGGTCTGCTGAGACATGCACAGACTCATTGTCTGAGAGACCTTCCCAGTCTGTGGTGTGGTGGGAAGGCCACCCAACTAACAGTAACAGGACCTGAGCCTTAATTCTGTCATATCATCACTGTGGCCTTAAGGAAGTCCTACTCAGCCGGGTGCAGTGGCTCACACCTGTAATCCCAGTACTTTGGGAGGCTGAGGTGGGAGAATCACCTGAGCTCAGGAGTTCAAAACCAGCCCGATCAACATGGCGAAACCCCATCTCTACTAAAAATACAAAAATTAGCTAGGCATGGTGGTACACGCCTGTAGTCCCAGCTACTCAGGAGGCTGAGGCAGGAGAATCACATGAACCAGGAGTCGGAGGTTGCAGTGAGCTGAGATCATGCCATTGCACTCCAGCTTGGGCGACAGGGTGAGACTCTGTCTCATTTAAAAAAAAAAAAAAAAAAGTCCTACTCTCTAGGCCTCATTTTCTTCATCTGTAAGGACTGGACTTCAGGTTAGGTACAGTGGCTCATATTAGTAATCCCAGCACTTTGGGAGGCCAAGGCAGGAGGCCAGGAGTTCAAGACCAGACTGGGCAACATAGTGAGTCCGTCTATTAAAAAAACAAAAAGGCAAGAAAAGATATAACAGAATAATCCCAAAGATCCCTTCCCATGCTGACATTCTGATTCCCTCACTCATTCATTCTAATATTAACCAATGTCAGCACCATGTTCTGGGCATCACCTGCTGGACCATTCTAAACGTGCTGGGCACAGCCAAGACATGTGAGTGTGGCCTCAGGCCTAGTGAGGGCTCACTGTTTCCACAGCCACTGCATGGTCCAGAACGGGGAAGGAAACCCCCACTCGCCCCATGCAGCCCACCCTGCCACAGCCCACCTGCCAGGGAAGGCATTTTCCTGATCCCAGTTCCTAGTTTCATCCTAGGAGAGCCCTCAACATCTAAAGCCTTTCCTACTTTCAATATTTTAAAAAGCTGGAAAGGGTAAGACCACCTGTCATCTTCCTAATCAAAACTCATCTTCTGGCTCTTACTCTCCATGGCTTTTACACAACATGTTTTATTAATTTGAAAGTGTTTAATTATAACGTTGAGGCCAGGTGTGGTGGCTCATGTCTGTAATCCCAGCACTTTGGGAGGCCAAGGCAGGAATATAGTTTGAGGCCAGGTGTTCAAGACCAGCCTAGGCAACATAGTGAGACTGTCTCAAAAAAAAAAAAAAAAAAAAAAAAAAGGCAAGAAGAAAAAAGAAAGAGAGAAAAAGAAAGGAAGGAAACAAAATATAACATTGAATACACGTTTTTTCAAACTGCACATACAACCCACATTTTCACTCAGGCCTCTGGGGCAACGGGGCACACACACACACACACCAATCACTGTCGTAGGCTCTCCAGCCACGAGATTTTCTGGCCCAGCCCCAACCCCGACCTAAGTCACCGTGTTGCGCCGACCCATTAGCTGAGGTTCCTGAGCACCTGCTGGGAGGAAGGCTGCTGGGAAAAGTCCTGCGTCCCTCCGCTCTTACCGCGGCAGGAACCACAGCCTCCCCGAACCTCAGGGTTTGTGTGGATTTCGCACAGGGGAAAGCGTTCCAACGCGCGGTGCAAACGGAAGCCACTGGCTGGTTGGGCGGGCTGTGATGGGAAAGCTGCATCCTTCCATCGCGTCCAGCTTTTCTGGCTGATGTTGGTGAGAAGTGGGTGGACAGCGGGAATTCTCAGGATGCGGGCCTGGGGTCATTAAAGGCTGGGAGGTGGGGGCGTGAACCTGTGGCCACCCTGACCCCGTCCTCGGTGGGCCTCACTACCAGGCCGAGGAGACCCAGGCCTGGCTCTCAGACGAAGCTGGCCCCAGCAGCCACCCCTCCCCGGCCCCCCTCTCCCCTACTTTCCCCTTACCTCCCAGGGGCGCGAAGAGCACGCCCCCTCCCCGGTCCCCACCAATCAGCATCCGGAGCGGCGCCCGAGGCGCCGGGTCTATGGTCCGCAGCCAATGAGCGCCGCGGCCCGAGGCGTCGCCTCGCCCGCCCCCTCCCGGAATGAAGGCCGCCCGGCAGCTGGCGAGGCTGGCGCAGCGCGCGGGGCGCGGGAGCCGCGCCGGCCGCAGCGGAGCGCGCTCACAGCCGGCCCGCCTCCGCTCCGCCTCCGTCCGGGGCGCGGGCGAGGCGGCCGGGGCGGGGGAGCGCAGGGGGCAGGGCCGCGGCGGCGAGGCCGGGGGGCGGGGAGGAGCGGGCCGGATAAAAGGCGGCGCGGCGGCCCCACCCCGCGGCAGGCCGGCGGGCAGGCTCGGCGCGTCCGTTCCGTCCGGCCCGCGCCGGCGGCGGGGAGGCGGCGCGCAGCCCGCAGCCCGCCCATGGAGGCTTTCCCCTGGGCGCCCCGCTCGCCCCGCCGCGGCCGCGCCCCCCCGCCCATGGCGCTCGTGCCCAGCGCCCGCTACGTGAGCGCCCCGGGCCCGGCGCACCCGCAGCCCTTCAGCTCCTGGAACGACTACCTGGGGCTCGCCACGCTCATCACCAAGGCGGTGGACGGCGAGCCGCGCTTCGGCTGCGCCCGCGGTGGGAACGGCGGCGGCAGCTCCCCGCCCTCCTCCTCCTACTCGTCCTGCTGCTCCCCACACGGGGGAGCCGGGCCCGGGGCGCTAGGGCCAGCGCTGGGGCCGCCCGACTACGACGAAGACGACGACGACGACAGCGACGAGCCGGGGTCCCGGGCCCGCTACCTGGGGGGCGCGCTGGAGCTGCGCGCACTGGAGCTGTGCACGGGCCCCGCCGAGGCCGGGCTGCTGGAGGAGCGCTTCGCGGAGCTGAGCCCGTTCGCCGGTCGCGCTGCCGCCGTGCTGCTGGGCTGTGCGCCCGCCACCGCCACCGCCACCGCCACCGCCACCACCGGCGAGGCGACTCCGCGCGAAGAGCGGGCCCCGGCGTGGGCGGCAGAGCCCAGGCTGCACGCGGCCTCCGGGGCGGGGGCCTCCCGGCTGCTGAAGCCCGAGCTGCAGGTGTGCGTGTTCTGCCGGAACAACAAGGAGGCGATGGCGCTCTACACCACCCACATCCTCAAGGGCCCCGACGGGCGAGTGCTGTGCCCTGTGCTGCGCCGCTACACGTGTCCCCTGTGCGGCGCCAGCGGCGACAACGCGCACACCATCAAGTACTGCCCCCTCTCCAAAGTGCCGCCGCCGCCCGCCCGCCCGCCGCCCCGCAGCGTCAGGGACTGCCCGCCCGGCAAGAAGCTGCGCTGAGGACCCTGGCTCTCGGCTCCCCAGGGTCGCCGCAGCCGCCCCTTGCACCGCTGGGTCTGCGCAGCATCTCGCCACTGCTGTGGGGAGGCGTGTGGCTCAGCGGTCGGCTCGACTTGGGACGTCGTCCTGGTTTTTCAAAAGCAGCGACCGTGTAGAGTACTTTCCTGCCGAGCGGTTGGGACTGGACGCTGAAATCCCCGTTTGTCTTCAGTTTCTAGTTTGCACATCCAGAACGGCGAAGGCTGGGTGTGTATTCCACTAACTGAAATATGGCAACGTAGAGGCGCTGTTTATTTACTGTATACGTCGACCTATTTTAGATGCGCGTCAGTATGAAATTGTCTCAATCTAATATTGGATGTTTCATTTTATGAATGGAGGCACTTTACTAGGTCTAGAGTATTTTTTTAAAAGCCTCTGAACTGAGCTTAAAAATGGCGATTTTATGAAATGTCGGCAAAATGACTATTTTATTGTTTGAAGCGAGTAATACTCTTAGTTGTCCTTAAAAATCAGTTACTCTAATTCCAGGTAAAGCAAGCCCCTGGTAGCATCACCCTTATGAGAAGTGAAGGTTTTGTAAACTTTCCAGTATTAATTTGGGCGGGTATTCCCTCCTTGTGGCTTGTTTCTGTCCTAGCTGGAGGTGTAAGATGCAGTCTGTAGCAGGTAGAATACAGCTCCTTATCCTTTTATGTACCGGATCTTTTATTACTGAACTAGCAACTAGTCTTTTCCACCTTTAAAAGTTGTGCCAAGTCATAATCATATTGTGTATAACTTGGAAATGGTGCTGTTTAAAAAACTTGTGTATTTATACAGTAACAGTATGAATTTATTAATCTCACCTGTAACTTTCCTACTTGGCCTTTTCTCTACGCACTCACTTCTAGTTCTTGAAAAACGTTTATATTACGATCAAAGGGAGGAAGGCAAGACAGCAGTATTAATTCACCCTAGACTGCTGAATTTCAGGGTTCCTAAATGGTGGAGGAAAGCCCATTCCAGCTGTTGCCTCTCAAATAGAAGATGGATCTCTAGCTCCGACTTGTTCGTGTATCAACTCGTATTCGAGAAGGTTCGACCTTAAGAATACAGGCAGTGCTCAAACTAGAATAAGCACTAATTAAAGCAATTGTTGGGGGTCCTTCACGTTACCATTCCTACTGGAAGACCCACGTCGATTTCTGGAACCCCACCGGTTACCCATAAGCAAGACTAAACCTGATCCTTAGGCAGAAGTTCCTAACCCCTACTTTACCCTCCCACCCTCACTTTTAAATCCACCATACTGAATGCCACACTGTGGAATGCAGCCAGTGTGGCTGCCAATCAAGACAAAAATAAGTGAATTAAGATGAACTCACCTGAAATGCATCACTATCTGAAGATACCAGCATGAGATTTAGTATACATGTATTAGGCTCCCAGCAGGATTTAGCTAGACAATTAGACTGCTTTCACATTCCACAGCTAACTTCCTCCACAGCAAATTGGCTCAATCAGGAACCTTCATTTGAAGGTGTGTTTAGAGGGTGGGGAAAATACTGGATAGCTGTCTTTTTGGTCAAAGGTGCCTATCAAGAACCCCGGGGCAGGTAGGAGAAAAGCAGTTTCTTAGCCAGGAAAGAAAAAAATCCAACCTTGCTAGTCTTCCCAGACTAGAGAACTGCAGATCTGACTGGGCCTGAATTAAGTAGCTTAATGAAACTGTAATCGTCCTTTTGCTAGAAAATACACCGATTTAAATGAGCTTTGCTTTCTGGATGAAGTTTCTATGGTCAACACGAATCCTCTTACCTCTCCCACTGCTCCGGTTCTGCCTTTCCAAAAGGACCACTATAAATGGATCAGTACATTACTCTAGGCCGAAAGGGCTAGCCAGGTGGCAAGATCAACTAAGCTACTTTGTATTTTTAAGAGTCAAATTATAGATGTGAGGCTTTGACATAGCCTCAATATATGGGAGTCACTGTGACGAGATACACATTTCACATTCTGACACCACTACTGTTTTACCAGAACTAAGAACATGTTGAGCTGGAGTTTCCTGAGGGCAGGATAGTATTAGGAAAGGTATCCAGAAGACCCTCTGTTAACTAGTCAGGCAGCCACTATTCATGTATTTTTTAAGTACCCCATTTTCAGACCGGGCATGGTAGCTCACACCTGTAATCCTAGCACTTTGGGACGCTGAGGCAGGCGGATCACATGAGGTCAGGAGTTTGAGGCCAATATGGGGAAACCCCGTCTCTACTAAAAATACAAAAATTAGCTGGACGTGGTGGCAGGTGCCTGTAATCCCAGCTACTTGGGAGGCTGAGACAGTAGAATTGCTTGAACCCAGGAAGCAGAGGTTGCAGTAAGCCCAAATTGCACCACTGCACTCCAGCCTGGGCAACAGAGTGAGACTGTCTCAAAAAAAGAAAAAAACAAACCATTTTCAGCCCCTGTGCAAATATGCCTAGGTTTTCCAGCTGACAATACTGAAGTTAAAACACCAAATATTACTATAGTTAATTTTCTAGGGTTCTTATGAAAAGTACATGTAAACACATTCATTTAAAATCCTTGGAACTCAATGTGAGACTTTAAACATTTTGCAAAATTACATTTTGAGAAACCTCATTTCTCAAAGTTTAAGAAATATGCAAAGTAATTATGACAATTATCTTAACATGCTGCATGCTTGGCTAAGTAGCAAAATACAGGGAATACTCAAAAGGGCTTCTTCAACTATAGAGGTACAGATTGTCTTAACCTGTTCTTTTCTGTACAGACTCAAAAATTTCTAGTGGCTTTTATTTATCTTTGTATTTTAATTTTCCAACAAAGTCCTTTTTGGAAGTTGCAGAATTATTAGCTTTGATGAGAACAACTTTTGTCATAGATTTGATTTATTAAACTAAAATTATACATATTAAAATTATATCACAAATATATATGCTTCCAGACAAAGAAAAGTTTGTTAGTCCTGATTTTCTAATCATAGCCACTCAAGAACAGTCCTTTGACAGTACCCCATATATTTCAGTTAGACTTATAAAAGTATAAATCAATCTATGGTCAGTGTCTTTGGTTAAAAAAAAAACACACACACAGGTAGTTCTTGACATAAAAACATCCCATCCCACACATTATAGATGCCAACCACCTCCTGGTAGCCACTATGGACAACTAATGAGATGCAGAGTCTTTTTTGGACCCATGATGTCTCGGCCATTGGATCCATCTGTATTAACAGTAATGTTACTCTCAATGAAAACTGCAGAAGCCACCGGGAACATGGAAGACCACCTAGCAGGTCGGTGAGTAGGCCGGTTGTTCAGCTTCCCTTTAACACCTGTTGGTAAATACTAGGGAGTAGACAGGGTTGTACAGCCTGGAGCCAAGAGTAGGATTGCAAGGTAACAGCATCGGACTCTTCTGCCCTCCTCTTGCACTTGGGTTCTGAGTCCCAGGACAAAGAACTTGGGAAAACAGTACAGGAAACTGAGCAGAAAGGATGGGTTTGCTGACTAGCCTCAAAATCTAACACTGATGTAGGCAGCTGTAACTCATCTGAACAAATCTGATTAAATAAATAATTGGGGCTTACCTGTGATTTCACATGTACAGATCTACTCTCTAGGAAGCAAACTCTTAGCAGGTTACTGCCCCACTTATAATCACTGATCTGAAATTCTCTTGTTATGAAAGAAAAGTCCTTCTCCCCACAAAACACCTTTTAAGACTTCTACTTATTTGAAGTGCCAGATAGTAAGAAAAGTGTTTAAAATGATTTCTATAATTGGTAACATCAAACAGAAAAGGCTGCATCTGGTTAAGTAAAAAAGTATTAATACTCCCTCTTCTGGCCCTACAGCTGTACCAATAGGAATTCTCACTACTACTCAGTAACAGAAACAGTAAGTGCCTACAGCCATGATGAATTTGTAACATTCTCAAATTAACTATGATTTTTCTCATTTCAGGTGAAAACCCATGGTGGTACTTCAAACACACACATGCACACACAAACTCAAGAGGACAGCCTTACAAGGAAACTAAGGAATTCCTGCATTAACAAAGGAAGACATTTTAGGGGAGAAAGCCTAGCCACATAGGCTTTGTTATATTTAGGTTCATTTTTGTTGATACTAAACAGACATTTAATGGCACTGATAAAAATTCAAGTAAAAAACTCAACTGAATATGCAAACTTACTAATATAAACAAAATACTAACTATAACCACAAATCAACACTAAAACAAATTCTGTAAGTATTTTATTTATCACTGAAGAAAAAAACACAGCAGCAAGTTCTGTGTTGGCTTCAATGAGACCAAAGAGTTAATCTTTAAACATAGCTACTACACTCCAAAATTGAAGTCAACACAGTCATTACTACAAATTACTTGTTGAAAGAATCTATCTTGAAGAGAAAGAAAATTAGGAAAGAGAATTTAAACGATTCCTCCAAACCATACATTTATAAATATTGTCATATTTAAAATGCTTGAAAGGCATGAATTCTCCATTAATGGAAAAGCAGTTTGCTATTGGCAACAGAAAAAAAAAAAAAAAAAAAACTTAGCGACAGTTTACCAAATGCTTTAAAATTTAAAAGCTGTACTGTTTGGATTCACACTTGGGCAGTATTCTTTTCATTACAACAGTAACTGCAAATTGCTTTATACTCACCTCCTCTCAAGTAAAATCTAAAGAAAACCACACTGTATCCAATGTTTGTAATGTTTACTTAAAGTGAATCTAAAAACATTCCAATTTAGTTTGTGGTAAATACCTCAAAGTATCTAAAAGAGGTACATTTCAACCACATGAAAAGGTGTGAAAATTGTTTCGGATTCACTGCTTTAAAGGGTCTTCAAATATGTTTTCTTTAACAGAATCTTACTTCATTCCAAATTAATATACTTCAAAATAAAATTTTAAAAAAAGATCAGTTCTATATCAAGATAAGGGTGTTAATACCTGAAGGTTCACATTTTAAATTTATTTTTTAGGTTTCTTGTCAACAAATGATTGATGAAATAATGCAACACCCCCTAAATTCCAGAAAATGGCATGGTTTTTCCAACCTCCTGTGGATATGGTGCATGATCAATCTATTATATAGGATTAATACAAGTTCATGCTTTTTGTGTTATGGTGAAACAACATTAAAGAATCCAATTTAGATTGGTTGAAGCACAAGTATAATAATCCTTGAATGTGATCAAACCTATTTAAGACACCAGTTTAAATCCATTATCTTGAGACTTAACGTCGTACTGTGGTCCATCCATCTTCATCAGTCTCATTTTTAGTACGACGAAGAGATTCCCTATCTTTCTCAGCTCTCCACGAGGCCTTCTCTTTTTCACCTTCTCTTTCTCGGTCTCGGTCTCTTTCTCGGTCTCTTGAAAGAGCTGGGGGAGGAACTCGACGAGGAGGGTCCCGCTCTTCTGCCCTGTCATCCTTCCTGTCATCGGCACGTCTCCAAGAACTTACTAAAAAGTTTAATTAAAAAAAAAAACTAAGTACTATATTCTATTTGCTCAAATTAACAAGAAGAATGTCTCAAATTACTCAAAATTCCTAAAGATTAACAATACAAAATCATAATTAAAGCTTTTATGATTTCTGACAAGATCTTTTTATATTTTTTGAGATGCAGTTCTGCTCTTGTTGCCCAGGCTGGAGTGCAATGGTGAGATCTCAGCTCACCACAACCTCTGCCTCCCTGGTTTAACCAATTCTCCTGCCTTAGTCTCCCGAATAGCTGGGATTACAGGCATGTACCACCACACCAGGCTCATTTTTGTATTTTTAGTAGAGATGAGGTTTCTCCATGTTGGTCAGGCTGGTCTCTAACTCCCGACCTCAAGTGATCCACCTGCCTCAGCTTCCCAAAGTGCTGGGAATACAGGTGTTAGCCACTGCACCCAGCCTCTGACAAAATCTTTAACATACAGATAAAACTGCAAATTTGAAAACCAGCAGAAGCCACTGGCCTAGGAAGAACTTTAATTGGCATAAACCCATAAGACAAGGTAGCAAAAATCTGGCCAAATAAAAATTTTAAGGGCCGAGTGCGGTGGCTCACACCTGTAATCCCAGCACTTTAGGAGGCCAAGGCAGGTGGATCACCTGAGGTTCGGAGTTTGAGACCAGCCTGACCAATATGGTGAAACCCTGTCTCTAAAAAATAAAAAAAATTAAAACTGAAAGGATTTTTGGCTCATGAAGAATTTTAACAACAAATTAGCCACACAAAATATAGAAGTTTTTAAAGTTATGGGTATGACAGAAAAATTATCTCACAATAGTATGACAAGACATAGAAAAGTAATTTCTTAAAAAACAGCAGAAAAATGAGTATTTTAAAAATAAAAAATACATATATTTTTAAAAAAAATGAACTTCCAACTGTTAAATTTTAAGAGAAAAAATGTTTCTACTTTGGGCTTAATCTGTCAGGAAATTACTTTTAAATAATAAATTTTTTCATTTTTATTAAGTAAATTTTATCAGTATTTATCACCTACTATCCAATTGAGTCTACTACTGTGCCTTGAATTTAGAGATAAGTGCACCTCACAACATGGCCACTGAGTAACTGCATGAAAATCATGAATTCCAAATGGAATAAACACCAACTCTCTTATTGTTGGCATTCATTCAAATTTGTGGTATAATTAAATAGTTCAAATCCCCACTCCCCCGCCACAAGAAAGGACGGTTCTCCAACACTTCAGTTGTATGTAACCTCTGTACCTTCTTCACGTTCCGATCTGAGCGGAGGGCCTCTTCGGTCCCTGTCGTCTCTTAGATCTCGTCTTTCTCTTAGATCACGCCGGTCATCTCTCTCCCGGCGACGATCATCCCTATCCCTATCATCCCGGCGACTTGAGTCTCTCCAGCTTGAAGATTCCTCAGCTGGTCCTCTTCTCCAGCCACCTTCATCCCTGTAGCAATTTAAAATGACAAGTCAGGTTCTTCATAGTGTTAGACCAAATGGATAATTACAAGTACATCCTGTCCAAGCTGGTGCTCCGAATTTACAAATATAACAAGGACAGTTTAAACTTATAACCTGACCTCACCTGATAGCTGGGACATGGGAGTCGAAAGAGAACACCCAGATCTGTGCCATCTCACTTGGTAGCCATTACCTGTATGTGGCTGCTTAAATTTATCTATTGTAAAATGGGGATATTTCCTCAGGAGCACCAACCATATAGTCTAAGTGCTTAGCAGCCAAATGTGACTGGTGACTACCATACTGGCCAGTACACAGAACATTTTCTTCCATGCAGAAAATTGCACTGAATACTGCTGATCTACAGTGAGGCCACTTTGGCAGAGGGAGCAAGCTAGAACTTCTACTACTAATAAAATCAAGGGGCTTTTGGTCTTTTAAGGGCAAGAAAACTGACTGCCCTAAACCACTGGCAAAGACCGCGATACTGGTTCCGTTACCCAACAGTCACACAGCCTATAGAAAGCCACAAAGTTTGGGCCTCCACTTGCTAAATTTAAGAGGGAATGTTCAATTAGATAACCTCTAAAACATTTATAAAACCTTCATTATGATTCTAAGAGATGGGGGCAGGGGGAGGCTAGGGGATAGATAATGAGGAATGTCATTTCTCAAAAATAGTTTGGAACACACAAGCCAGTGTCTAAAACAATCCCGACCGCAGCTCTTAAAAAAAAAATTTTTTTTTTTTTTTGGGACAGAGTTTCGCTCTTGTCACCCAGCAACCTCTGCTTTCTGGGTTCAAGTGATTCTCCAGCCTCAGCCTCCCAAGTACCTGGCATAACAGGTGCTCCACCACCACACCCAGCTAATTTTTGTATTTTTAATAGAGACGGGGTTTCACCATGATGGCCAGGCTGCTCTCGAACTCCTGACCTCAGGTGATCTACCCGCCTCAGCCTCCCAAAGTGCTGGAATTACAAGCGTGAGCTGCTGCACCCGGCCCATACAAATGATTTGATTAGAAAATCGCACCGAGGTCTTCTGAAGCGATCCTCGCGATCCACATCTCTCTCTCTGTCCCTTTCTCTCTCAGGGTCCTTGTCATTCTCCTCTCGGTCTTGATTATCTCTATCCCTTTCTTTTTCTCTGTCCCATTCACGTTCTTCGGATGGTCTTGATTCTCGAGGAGGACCCCAGCTCTCCTCTCTGGCTTTTTCTTTCTCTCTCCATCCACCTATTTTTTTTTTTGAAAAAGCAAAATATTTAAAAATTTTTTTTTAAAAAGACACAGATTGGCAATCATGATTCATCATCATTCTATAATTTAAGACAATGATAAAAAAACACTAAAGCTGTATACATCACTGCACAGACATTATTAACAGTATTTTCTGGGTGCAGCAGTTCATGCCTATAATCCCAGCACTTTGGGAGGCCAAGGCGGGCAGATCACCTGAGGTCAGGAGTTCAAGACCAGCCTGACCAACATGGAGAAAGTCCATCTCTACTAAAATTATTTAAAAAAAAAAAAAAAAAACAGCCAGGTGTGGTGGCGTATGCCTATAATCCTAGCTACTTGGCAGGCTGAGGCAAGAGAATCTCGTGAATCCGGGAGACAGAGGTTGCAGTGAGCTAAGATAGCGCCACTGCACTCCAGCCTAGGCAACAAGAGCAGAACTCCATCTCAAAAAAAAAAATACCTCATACCTATAAGAAAACTTAAAAATGGGCCAGGCATGGTGGCTCACACCTGTAATCCCAGCACTTTGGGAGGGTGAGCCAGGTGGATCACTTAAGGCCAGGAATTGGAGATCAGCCTGGCCAACATGGTGAAACCCTGTCCCTACTAAAAATGCAACAATTAGCCAGGTGTGGTGGCACACCTACAGTCCCAGTTATTTGATTTGGGAGGCAGAGGCAGGAGAATCGCTTGAACCTGGAAGGCAGAAGTTGCAGTGAGCCAACATCATACCACTGCACTCCAGCCTGAGCGACAGAGTGAGACTCTGTCTCAAAAAAACAGAAGGAAAAAAAAAAAACAAAAAACTTAAATGATCTGGGTTGAATGTTCCATAAACAAAATCATCATTGAAAATGTCATAATTTTTCCTGTTGCATACAGATTTCAGTATAGTATCTGTTCTGATGTTAAACAGATCACTCATTTAAACAGAAAACTTTGCCAGGCGCGGTGGCTCAAGCCTGTAATCCCAGCACTTTGGGAGGCTGAGGCAGGTGGATCATGAAGTCAAGAGATCGAGACCATCCTGGTCAACATGGTAAAACCCTGTCTCTACTAAAAATACAAAAAATTAGCTGGGCATGGTGGTGCATGCCTGTAATCCCAGCTACTCAGGAGGCTGAGGCAGGAGAATTGCCTGAACCCAGGAGGTGGAGGTTGCGGTGAGCCGAGATCACGCCACTGTACTCCAGCCTGGGTAACAAGAGCGAAACTCCGTCTCAAAAAAAAAAAAAAAACAGAAAACTTCAAGAGTTTTCTCTGAGTCCCAATTTTGTGGTATTTATTATACCCTGCAACATTTTCAAGGCCTTCATATCCAAAAGAGAATCTTTCTTTTTATATGCCCATCATCCACCATTTACCAACCCACCATTATCTAGTCATTAATCATGGATAAATCTTTTAACCCTGTACAATGTCTCATACTTATCCATCGAATATATGAATCTAGGAACATTTTATATAGATTACAGAGAGAGAGAAATTTGCTGGTGACTTCACTGTTTAAAATGGCTTCCAAGTGTAGTGCTAAAATGCTGTCTAGTGGCCAGGCGGTCGAGGAAGGTGGATCCCTCAAGCCCGGGAGTTCAAGACCAGCCTGAGCAACATGGCAAAACCACATCTCTACAAAACTATAAAAATTAGCTCGGCTTGGTGGTATGTACCTATACTCTGCTACTGAGGAGGCTGAGATGGTAGCATCTCTTGAGCCCAGGAGGCAGAGGTTGTGGTGATCTGAGATTATGTCACTGCACTCCAGCCTGGGCGACAGAGCAAGACCCTGCCTCAAAAAAGAAAAAACAAATGCTGTTTGGTGACTCCAAGCACAAGGTGGCTATGATATGCCTTAAGGAGAAAATACAGGCATTCGATAAGCTTTGTTCATGAATGAGTTATAATGCTGTGGACCATTAATTCAATGTTAGTAAATCAACTACATGTCAGAAATAAAGGGTCTTTAAACACAAACACATA